GTATATATATATATGTATATATGGGAATTGTAATATACAATACTATTCCCAAATTTACACAACATGCTAATTTCAGAATATTATACATTTGTTAAAAAGGATATATTAAATAAGAAATGTTAATGGGAAGGTTTAACCTCGCCCAGTTTACTACCCGATCCTAAGCCCGAAAAAGAAAGAAGTTTGAGAGTCAGACTAGCGACTCTAATAGGGAAAATCAACCACTAGCTACAGAAAGTTCAAAGCGCAGCGAAAATGTAAAAAAAAAGCATATTCTTCGCTGGAATTGGAGAGACGGAATGACGCGGGCTGGTGAAAGCCTTCGAAAAACCATTATACTGACTTTTCTTTTTTCAATGTAGGTTAATATAATCATAGGGACATGGAATGTTCACATGATGTTCAAAGCTGGGAAGGCTTCTCAGGTTTCAAAAAGTTGGGAAAATATGTCACAGAAGTTAAAGAACTCGGTGAAAGCAGATGGTTTGAAAGTGGACTCTCCAAAATAATAGCTGAAGAGTCAATAGTTTACTTTGGTCACCAAGACGACAACCACTAGCATACTGAAGGAGTTGCTGTCATGATGTCACCAACGACATCCGAAGCTCTCGTGTAGTGGGAAATAATCTCCTTCAGGATTATGACAGCAAAATTTAACTCAAAAGGAATGAAAATTACGATTATTCAATGCCATGTGCCTACAAGCAACGCAGAGTAGCTGAAGAAGTAGGGAAATTTCTATAGACAATTGCAAACTGTAATAAATAAGATCCCGAATGGTGCCATCAAAATCCTTATGCGCGATATGAATGCTTAACTGGGACCAGACAATACAGAAAGAGAATTCATCATGGATTGAGAGGCTCTCGGTGAAATGAATGATAATGGAGAAGTCTTCGCAGACTTCTGTGCATCCATTGATTCGGTGATTGAAGGAAGTGTGTAGAAGCACAAGGATATACGCAAGGCAACATCGATTTCACCTGAACGACGCACTAAAAACCAGAGAGACCTCACCTCATTCTCAAGTAAGTGAAGATGCAGCCTGTTGGACACAGAATCGAGAAGGGGAGTAGATGTAGGCCCAGACTAATATCTGATGTAAGCAACCTCCAGAAAGTCAAGACTTCGTGGAGTATTTATGCCTAATTTCACACAAATTCAAGGATCTACAGGCGAAAACCAAAAAGTGGACAGAAGATACAAGCAGCGAAAAACGAACTTCAAGTGAATACCTAGAAGACGCAGGTGATGAAAATACCTAAGTAACAACAACAAGTAACAGTCATTATCAAAGAGAGAAATTTGAAGGTAGTCACTTCTTTCACCTATCTAGGCGGCATCGTTTCAACTAGAAGTGGAACGGACCAGGATTTCAAAGCCAGCCAGGATCAAGAAGGCAAGACAGTTCTTCATCACTCTCAAATCACCAACATGATGAAAAAGATTCGGATTTTCAACACCAGTGTCAAGTAGGTTATTCTTTATGATTCAGAGACTTAGATCATACGTGTCGAAGAACGTTGACAACAGGACAGTGCAGTCTTTTTGCCATCAGCTGTCATCGGTGGCTTCAAACTGAAGATCAGATGGCTGGTTAGAAAGAATTGGCAAAAAGAGAACTCTGGAAACGACCTAACTGAGCACCCGATGACTCAATTAATATGTAGAAGAAAATGAAGACTGCTGATTGACATTAGGCAGGTCCTCGAGTGGAAAACAAGGAGTTGGGCTTAGGTACAAGGTTGACATGAAGGAGGTTGTGTGAGGAGTAAATGTGAAAACACGATCAATCGTGGAGTGAGCTAAAGAGGCTGTAACAGAGAACAGGAATAAAGGAGATTGATGTTGAACCGTTCTACTCGGAATCCAAGGGAATAATAATCGGAAAGTATAACACATTGATGAGATAAAATAATGTTCCAGGTAGTAATGATAGGATGAAAAGTTGTATTCTACAATGATAAATATGTGTCCACACTAATAGTCAAGTCTCCTTCTAATCAGTGAAAACGCTTTATTTATGAACTAAGATTACCTATTTTTTACGTGCTCGGATGATTTCTTTCTACTATCTATCGTTCCTCTTCAATGAACTCTTCAACGATTATGTATCACAGTGTTATGGTTTATAAGTCATTTATACAACTATTATTTTGTTTTTAATTCAAGTTTGATTTTCTACATGACTGCTTGGACCGAAATGTTCGGAGCCTGTTGACTTGTCAGCTCGTAGTGTAGACGCTTCAAAGATGTCTCAGGATGAATTTGAAGCAATTTAATAGATGACAACTAGCAGTGGAATTCAGGATGAACATTCCGTGCCATTTAGGGCCTATCAGCTTGATTTACCTGCATTCCACAATGAGCGGTGGTGTTCCTACCATCCAACAAATTACATCAAGTTTATCTTCAGACACCGATGAAACGTCCGCACTAGGAGCCAACATATCATCAGAGACTGAACAATTCGGTCCAATTAATGATCAGAAAAAACAAAATTGAATCAAAAACGAATAATATCTGATACTTGTTGCACAAAATGTGGCTGTAGTTGCCCAAGTGGTCTAGAGGATAAAGTTTTCAAGCTCAAAACCATGGCTACTGGGTTCGGGCCTGAGTGGAAGCACTATCACACAATGGAAATTCATGTACATTAAGCTGATGAGTTCCAAATAAGATGAAATTCGCACCCTGAATCCCACTGTTTTTTTTTCAGCTAGATAAGAATATCTTTATGATGTATTCAGTTATGTGAATAGCATAAAAATAGTTCAGAAAAACCATAATAATTATCATTTCTTTTCTTATTTCACAGGAGTTAGTTCAAAATGAGGAAGGTATGCAGTTCAGTAACCAGCTGAATAAACGCACATTAAAACTCTTGTAGTCAGTAATTATAATTACAAAAGTCTTTAATTATATACATACACTATTCAAAAGGATGCTATTCCACTTCAAAAGTTTCACTGATTAACGCTTTGCATTTCGCCGGTTTTCAATAAACTAACTTTTTATGTTAATAATTAATAGTTGCTTATTATACTACTTTAACATCTTATTAAAGAGAGTATATATATACGCACCTGGAGAAGCAAATTCAAGTTGATAACTATGCTTACATCCAGGCTTCTGCTAAAATGGGCTGTTCAGCTAAATTAAGATATATCAGTATTAAACCAAAATTCTGAATAAAAAGATTTCAGATATACTTCATGCACAACAGGTGTAGCTTAGGAGACAGGTAAGTCTCATAGGGAAGATTATCATTCACAGAAGAACAGACACACAGCTGATGAGTACAAAACAAGAAGAAACCAGCGAACCGGTTTCCACTGCCAGTCATTACCAAACATATAAGGTCATAAATACACATATTATTCGTTTTGAATATATTGCACAAAAACCCAGTTTATAGTATATTTCATTTTTTTGAAACTAATGAAGTCAGCAGGACAATAACCTTGGTGGTTCGAGTCCAACAAAGTGAATTTTTGAATATGAAAGAATCAGTGTATGAATACATAAAAGCTCGTCTACACTATCTTGTATTTCTTCATATATCACACTTGATAACTGAATGATATTCAGATTATGAGATTTGTGGGAATTTCAATTAATTTAATTTCAACTGTTAGATCTCGTCAAGAACCAACATCAGTTGGAAGGATCACCGAGAAACATGGAGTACTGGATAGCTGTTTTATCCCATTTGGAAACTCTGTAGCAGTGCACACTCGCGACCTCAGCAGGGATCGAATCCGGGATATTTAGGTTCCAAGGAGAACTCGTATACCATTCAACCACTGGAAGAGAATCCAGTTGCTCATCAGTTCTAACTTCTGGTAACCGGGTGTCCCTAGATTAAGACACCAAGCTCCTTGACATTTCTGTCGCTTGGGCTTGAATTCAGTGACCTGTGAATTCTGACTTTATCAATTCCTGACATAGCTCTGCCTTCAATCAATACTTTCAATGGGCATCCAATTCATCTTGACATAGTGAATCTCACTTGTCACGACTTCTCACTAAAGCTTCAGAACACTTATGCAGTAGCCACGAATTACATGGAACTTGAGGAAATTTGGATCAAACTAAATGTAACTCTTCAAAACTGTTTTCAGTTCTTTTCCCACAAAAATCAGAATTCAAGTTTCAAGTGAAAACATTCTACACGTTTCTTTTCCCTAATATTATTGTATTCACTTCAGATCATTTGTTGTAAACCATCATTTACACTTCCTTTTTGTAGATAATCCACTTAGACCAGAATATTTTATCAAATAGTTATTGAGTAATTGAGCTACAGTGAAAAAATATGTATTTTTATCCTATTTCACATAAAAAATATATCTTCCTACCAGTTTCCTTGAGTTTTCCTTTCCATTTCATTCTCAAAACATCAAATTTTACTAATACAAAAATGCGCAAATTAGTTGCAGGTGAAAGTAAATGAAGAAAAGAGAACATGGAAGAAACTGACTTATTTGAAAAGCCAGAGAGTACTGGACAACTGTTTCATCCTACTTCTGGACTCTTCAGAAGTACGCTGAAGTTGTCAGCTCACCTACAACCAGTCCAATGCCTGCAGCCAACACTTGTCAATTAACCTGATGTTGACTGCCGATTGACTTTATGTAGGCAGTTACCTGGAGGTCTGGTGAGATGCTATAGCCAGCGTAGTCCACCAAGTCAGATAGGAGAACAGTTACTAGCCTACGAGATTGGCTAGAGGTTGCACTATTTATACGTCACACTGGTAGAAGTTGGAATTCATAACCCATTAGGTTGGATTCTAGTTGCTGAATGGTTTATGAGCTCACTGTGTAACCATAATGTCCTGGTTTTAAACCTCAGTAGGTGACTACTGATGAAGAGTTCCAAACTAGAACAAAACAGCTGTTCAGTACACTTTGGGTTTTTTCTCAGTAATTCACTAACTGATAACAGCTCATAATCATGAACACCTGATAATTATTAGAAAATAGTAAATAACTCACCTGTGGAAGTAAAGTGATCATAAATATAAAAACAATTGTTAGTAAAAATCTTGTCAACCGATTTTCCACTTTATCACGTTCATTTTCAAATGTATTGCGTTTCCGTTCTGTGTTAACATTTGTGGCTGGAGTTGGTGTTGGTGCTGTTGACGATGAAGACGGGGATTCTTTAAGACTGGAAAGTTTAATTATCACTGTCTCACCATTATCATTCATTATATTACTATTATTATTATGATTAGTAGTAGTATTAGTATTGTTATTTTTTATATCATTGTCTGCATGATTCGCCTTCTCTAACAGACACGATGCATTTGTCATAGTTGTTGATAAATTTGAAGGGGATTTCACTGCAACCGCGTGAATTCTGCCAACTTTTGATTGTGCTTTCATTCTACGCATTCGGGAATTCTGTTTACGTATAGTAAATATCAGCATAAAACTAAGTACACTTAAACACAACAGTGGAAGTAGTTTAGAGAAAATCGCTGTATTCCAGTACAGATAGTTTAACATGACTTCATTTTCTTTATATGTCACCATGTAGCCATTTTCTTCATTATCATTATTATTCCGGACAATATGATGCGTGATTACACACGGGATAGTCAATATACTACTTATTATCAGTACTAGTGTGATAGCCAGTCTAGCTCTTTGCATACTACACAAAATATGACATTGAACTAAAAATCGTACATACAGAATACGAAATACAGCTATCACAACAACAATATAACTTGAAGTTAAGTGTAAAAAATTTTGTAAATTAATATGAAATTTTAAGAAAACCGCCCAACTATAACTTGAATTCCGTGTATGCCGACCAATGAGAAAATAACTTGCAAATGGAATATAAAATATCATTAGTAGACCATCACTTATCGCTAAAGATGTCAATAGAAAATTTGTTGGCGATATCATACTACGCTGGTTAAGAACAATGACAATGCAAATATTAGATAATACACAAATAGGGCAGAGAAACAGTGTGATATATCCATGCATCCCGCCATAAACACGTCCAAATGTTTCTAAAAATTCAATCGGTTCACATTGAGTTGTATCCAGTGGTGTACTTATCGATGTCGTTGTAAAGGATTCAGTTATTTCTGTCATTGTTAATATTGATAACAGATTGGTTGTTGATGCAAGAGTCTTTCCGGTGTGTTGAAATATTCAAGTAACTGGCAAATTTTTAAGCATTAAACACGGGATTGAGAGGAACAAACCATCAGAAGATTCATAAAATAGCGATGGTTGAATGGTCTGAAATGAAAAATGGACAGAGATAAAACAAAATCGTTAGTATTGTTGCATGAAGTCATAAATTTTCGCCTGTTACGTGATGTTTATTACCTTGTAAAATATTTATGAAACAACATAGAAAACATTCAAGTTTTGTGGTTTTTAAATGTTGGTGACAGTAATAAATGACATCGTCTTCCAATGCTTATATTAACAAAGGAAGAGATCTAGCATTGTGATGTGGCAATCACTACTTTCCTGGGTTAACTAAACTATAAAAGAAGCAATAAATTGACAGAATAATAATTAAACACTCCTCACGTTTGATAAATACCTGTTGTGGTTGTTATAACACACCATATCTGACTATGTGTAGTTTTCTCTATCCCAAAATCACATAGTGAATATAAATAAGCATCCGTTTCTTAGGAATAAATGTATTATTAATTTCTCCGTCTTTCTGCATATATATACGTCACCTTTCTAGTATCAAACCATCACTGAGTTTCAGTTAAGTAGCTCAAAGAAAACTTTCAGTTAATATCGAATGTTGAGGAATTATCTTTAGACATTTGAACGTAGCTGTTGAATGTATTAGATAATACGCATGCGTGATTCGCCAAACACGTGGACACGTGGTTCAGGCTCGATTCTTGAATGACTTATTTCTAAATCTCACGTGACCCATAGTAATTAAACGACAGAAGACAACGGCCAGGCAACAGATCTTTCATTGACAAAAGCGATTATTATTAGCGTTTTTGTTAGGAGAGAAGCAACGTCTTGCTGCTTGCGACCATTTCTAAGAAAGTTAAGCCATATATCTGCGGATCATATTTGCACACGTTAAGTCTGCTGTGATTGGTTGGTGAGTTCCTCAAGGTAAAGCTTTGTTATGGTTTTTTTCTCATGACCCCAATTCAGGACGTAAACACCGACGCAGATTGTTGTCTACAATTCGACTTGCAGACAGCTCTCACTACAGTAAGACTGGAAAAGAGGGGAGGTTGTGTATGAAGCTGACAATCTCACCCCGTTAAAGAAACACCACCGTTACCGAGCTTGAAACCCTGTGCTCCACACAGAACTCAGTAGAGTGAAAAGAATCAGGTAATACTCACTACTTCCGAAAATACTGGTGTACACTGAATTATGTTACCTTTAAACCATTTAGTTATTCTTTTATAGACAGTAAGCGTTCATTTCATTGAATTTTAGATTTTCCCGTCGATTGATTGAACCGAATTGTTCGGTACCAGGCTGACATGTCGGCTTCTGGTGCAGATGCTTCGATGATGTTTGGGGAATGTTATTAGAATTTATTTGGTCAATGGTGACCAGCAGTGATATCCAGGATGCAAATTCCGTCCTATTTGGGTCTCGTCATCTGGATGTACCTTCATTTCCCAGTGATTGATGATGTTCCCTCTGAGGCTCGAACCCAGTGCCCATAGTTTCAATTGCCAAAAGCGTTATCCACTAGATCACTAGGGCCACGAGAACCACCTATTGTGCAACGGGTCATATTAATTTAATCGAATTTTAGATTCTCCCGTCGATTGATTGGACAACTGCTAGTCACTATTCATCAGTTAAATTCTAATTAAATGCCCAGATATCGTCGAAGCATTTGCTCAAGAAGCCGAGATGTCAACCTGAGACCGAACACTTCGGTCCAATAAATCGACGGGGAAACCTAGAATTCAATTAAATAATTAATATGACCCATTGCACAAGAGGTGATTCTCGTGGCCCAAGTGATCTAGTAGATAACGCTTTTGGCGTTTGAAAATGTGGGCACTGGGTTCGAGCCTCAGAGGGAACATCATCAATCACTGGGAAATGAAGGTACATCCAGATGACGAGACCCAAATAGGACGGAGTGCGCATCCTGGATTCCACTGCCAGTCACCATCCACCAATTAAACTGTATGCGTTCATTATTTGCAAAATATGTTTAAGGAATTTACATAGGAAAAAAATGAGCAGTATGTAAATTATGAATGGGAATTAGAAAATTGATGCTTATCACAGAAAGGCAATGGGAAATAAGAGGAATGTGGTAGAACAGTTATCCGTTATATCAGTTTTGCTACAAAATAAAGGAAGACAAGCAATTACTTGATAAAACAAAATATGAAGTTGGAGTAAACACTGAGAACTTTGACTTTTCGTAACTTTTTGATTTCAGTCGGAAATCCTTCAATACTTCAATCTACAGCTTTGCAAATTACCAATTCTGGAAGATTTAATGTGTTCTACTTGCATACACCAACTATTCAGACACTTTTTCCAATGAATTCAAACTTAAAGTTAGTCGAATACTCACAAACACCATTGTTTTACATCGTTATAATATCAAGAAAAGCATTCTGTCAGTATCGTCAGAGCTTTCTTCGTTCTTTCATTCCTTCTACTGCAAATGGAAAATAGAGTTTCAAGCTTTAAAGTCCCAGCAGAGGTATTGTTTTTACACAGTATAATGGCTCGTCTCACGTACAACCCTCCCTCTTTTCTCGGGGGGAGGTAAACTTGACGAGGTTTGAGAGCATGACGGCCGGATGTCGAACCAGGACTCCCTGAGTGGCTGGCTAATTTAGTAGAAATTCCATTATGGAGATTATTTTGACTGACTAAACGTAACTGTACTTCCATATACATATGAGTATACATATGCGCATAAACTTTGAATGCAACCAAGCTACTGAAGTCCGGTCCGGAAAGCAGTAGTACTAGACGGGATTTCCTCGCGAAGCATTGAAAAAGGACTCAGAGACTTCTGCAAATGTGTTGACACCACTAATGCAAAAGGTTTGGAAGAGAGGAAAGGTGCATACTGATTGAAAGAAAGGCTGAACACCTTGTCAAGCTACCAAAAGAGGGCGACCAAGTTAAACCTCTGAAAGAACTGGCGTGGAATAATGCTCTTGTCTACACCATCCTGGAGAGAATGAAAGATGCCCTGGATGCAGGGCTCCCCTACAAACCGGAACAGGCTGGATTTAGGAAGAGTAAATCATGACCAACTCTACGCATCAACGTCATCGAACAAAGCGTCAAATGGCAGCCAAACCTTTACCTCAACTTTATCGATCTCAGAAAAGGCCTTCGACAGCGCATACCACGAAGTAATTTAGAAACTGCTTTAACACTATGGCGTGTAGTGCCGAAGTCCTTTTCAACTTTATCCAACAGCTGGCTATGTGGCGATGCCTGCCACATGTCAAGTGATACAGAACGGAAAACTCAGCAAGGCGATTGAAGTGAGTACATGAGTAAGACAAAGCTTCCCACTATCTTTAATGACATTCTTAATTGTGGTGGACTGGATTATGCGTTAGAATGTGCACAGAGAGGGAAAAGACCATGAATACGCTGAACCAACAATGAGAAGACTCCAGAAAATCTGGATTTCACGCCTGTGTGATTTATGTTTACTGTTCCATAGACTCGAAGGCTTGCAGGTGAAAACCGACAAACTGGTTGAAGAAACAAGAGTCGAAGATAGGACTTCAGGTGAACTTCGAGAAGTTGGAGACGGAGGTGATAAAGACATCCAACTAGCCATCATGAACATCACCAACTACAACAACAACCAGCACCAATCACCATCAACAGGAGAGATTTGAAAGTGGTTACTTCCTTCACTTATCTGGGCAGCCAGCATCGTTTCAAACAAAGACAGCCAGAACGGATGAATGTGTCAATATATAGAGAAAATGGAAATGGATCCATTATGGGCTGAGAGGGCTGTTGAATGACATCAAGCGCAGTACAGGCCACCACTCGAGTGGGATCCCAATTGGTATTGATATATGGGTCGTCAGTGGGAGGATGACATGGAGGTGATAGTTTGGGGAGAGGAGATGAGAGATTATGGACAATCGCAGACCCAGTTGAAGAGGAGTGCGGAAAGAAGAAAAATGTGGAGATGTGTTATTGAAGCCCTATGTTGCATTTGGAACCCAAAGGAATATTAATAATAATTCAACTGAGTACCCATTCTAAATAGTAAATCTGGAGATGAAAATTAGGAATCATTCTTGAGCATTAGTCGCTGAAACGTTCACAAGCCTATGGAGGGCATCTAAAAATGACACCTCCAATTGAAATCATTCCATCCTCTCAGGATTATAATACCTGCAAGATGAAATGGTAAACTATCATGGTATTAATATTCACATGTGTTTTATTTGAGTAACAAACCAAATTAAAATAAAATTACACGTCATGCAGTTCATTGGTGGGTTTCTCTCCAACCACGCACACAGTCCGAATTCGGTTCCCGACCGGCGCACTTCTAAAGTTCACTAAGCCAGTGGTAAGTCCGGCAAAGCTGGAAAGTTTGACGTAAGGCTAGCAGTATCATCTGATAAAAAAACAGTGCCACTGATGAGAAGCTCGGAAGTCTATTTTCCATTCGAAACGCAAGGGAATGAAAAAAGTGTTACGAGTCATCTCATTTCAACTGAAATTACAACAGGGTTAGAAATACCTTAGCCGAACAAGTCACTGAAACTGATTTTGCAACATGTATCTAAATTATGTATTTATCTTAGATGTCATTATTGGAATTCAGACAAAATGTTTTAAACTACCTGCTTGGGAAAACGTAAGTATATCTAGAAATTATAATTACAGCTATACATATACACGAAATAGCAGAGCATTTAAAAGAGAAAGTATTTCATCCACAGAGCTTTATAATCAAGTGCAAGCACTCTGAAATTAAAACTCATCGTCAATCAACGAACTGGAAATTCAGAATTTCAAGCTTGTCCACGGATTTACATCAGTTATAGAATTACTATCCTAGTTTGGAACCCATCATCAGTCCCAAACTAGGACGAAAAAGTTGCCTATTACTCTCT